TTGTGTGATTCTAAATAATTTTTGTTTAGTAACGACTTATTAGTCTCAAAGTGAGTTCCTCGTCATCGAATTATATCTACTATTTTTCGTCAGAACAAAATTGTTCATTTTCCGTTTATAAGGGTGTGTTCGTTTACCATAGCTTTGTAAAAAAAACATTTGCTTTTTTTGTAACAATAGACCGATGTAGAAATGTGGTTTTAACCTGTTGATCAGTTTGTTTTTAATTGAATATACCTCTAAATAATTAACTATAGATATTTCAGTTTCGATTAGAAGAACACAAAGGTATATAAAAATAAACGTCGCCACAACAGAAACTTGCCATTAACAAGCTGTTAAATTAACTGTGCCGAAACTAAAGGTCAAGATCAGTGAAACATCAGTTAACGAAAAGGCTTAGTCCTTGGCCAAAGCCTGAGCTCTTTATCTTTTAATTACCTCTTAAATTATATTTTATAAATAAAGGAAATTCCCAGTTTTATCTATTAACGTTTTCCAAATCGAAGTTTATTTATCAGCTGTAATTTTTGTTGTTGAGAGTCGATTCGTTCTGCTAAGCTTCTGAAAAAGAACAGAAAATTGCTGCTGAAGTAGATACTACAAGTTCTCTTTAATTTTTTCCAGGTTTTTGTGAAACCAGTGACAGCATTCTTTTGCTTTTCACTTCTCCATTGAGGGAGATCATTATTCTCTGAAAATTGTTTGAGGTGTTTTATAACCACGCTTTTTGTGTGTGTGTGTGGAAGAGTTAAATATAGTTTCATGTAAGTTCTACTTCAACTAAAACAAATTGAAAGTCATGATAAGCTCCAAGCCAGATTAGCCCATCACACAGTTGGGGTACAGTATGATTGATTACTTCGTTTCTTTTAGCTTTTAGGTGCTCTAAGAGTGTATTTGCAATGTATACGAGTTTTCCATTCATTAACATTATATACTGCTTCATTCAGGATAACCTACACCTATCCAGAGTGTGTATTGTTGGTTCTAAGAAACACATCTTACAAAATATACACAGGGATATAAAAAAATAGCTCATTGCCTTGTCCCCCCAGTGGCACAGCGGTATGTTTGCGAACTTAAAACGCTAGAAACCAGTTTTCTATACCCGTGGTGGGCAGAGCACAGATAGCCCATTGTGTAGCTTTGCGCTTAACTACAAACAAACAAATCTTAGTGCCTTATACATTTTATAATTATTATGACTTATTTATAATAAAGATCAAAATTAATTTTGTTCAATCACTTCAGACTGTAAGCAAAATGTATGTTTCATCCACTTCTAAAGCTTACATTCTAATGAACGTACTTTCTTCATATAACTTTAAACATACGATTTTTACAACACTCGAAAATCGAATAAAATTAAATTGTTTTTATGAAATAAAGCTTTCCTTTCTTTCTTAATGTTTGCCAAGTTAGTTGGAGTCTAAAGCATATTCTTTTTCAGAGGCGCACTTTATTTTTGTATTGTTTTCAGAATTAGTTTTACCTGTTTTAAGATTTAAGTGATATTGTAAAACATAAATTTTTAAAACTGATGGTTTTACAATGTTAATAACTAACTTACTGAAGAGCTTGTTTGTTTTGTTGAATTTTGGACAAAGCTACTCAATGGCTATCTGCGCTAGCTGTCCCTAATTTTGAAGTGATAAACTAGATAGAATGCATCTCATGGGCTACTGCTTGACGACGAATAGTAGGATTCATCATTACATTATTATACCCCCACTAGATTGTGAGTCAAGCACCCGAAACACCAAGCCATGCCAGGCTTGAGGAATTAAAGTGTATCGCCGATTTTTTTAATTGAGACTATTTTTATACGAGGCTGTGTTTGTCATCAGCTTTGGTCTCGATTTTCAAGCAGTTAGAATTGAAAACAAGAAGGAACCCTCAATAGCCGCGACACTTTAAATTCTGTTAGGCAGGATTAGAGTAAATCATGACACCTTCCCTCCCTTTTTTTATTAGCTATGTTTTTGTGCGCCAACAATACCAAACGTGGGGGGCACGTGTACTAGATTCCATTTTATTACTTATTAGGAAATCTAACAATATTTACAACGCTGCTTTCCTTTATATATTGATAAATAACAAAATGTAATGTGTTTGTTTTTGAACAGAAATAACTTCCATGTCTTTAAAACCTGCTTAACTTTTTTTTTATTCAATCTTTTGATTACCTTATTACATTATTCAAATACTGAACGAACAAATGAATCTGAAAAGAGCTATACTTATCATCTTTCTTTCTTTTGAAGCGTTGGACAGGATATCCTTTAAGACTTTGGACACACTTGATTCTAGTTTAATACGCACATGTGTAAGTAAAAATAGTACGTGTTGTAATTTTGACCCACGAGTTGCGCGGAACATTATTTCCATTTATTTACATTTTTAATAAAAAGAATTAAACATAGAATTATGCTATAACCCTAATTATGAGTGATTCCATAATTAGAAACACTACTATTACTATGAGTGATCTGTTTCGTAGAAATTAGGAGTACATTCTGCGCATGTCAAAAGTGGGTGTGTTGTCTCCAAGAGCTATCTGTTCAAAAGTAGGTGTGTTGTCTCCAAGAGCTATCTGTTTGAGTCAGTGGGGAGATTTCTAAGAATTTTATATTCGGATGTAGGGTGTTTCTTTTATATTACGTTTTTCAAGAACTTGAATTTGACATATAATTTTATTTCCTATTTCATGAGAAAAAAAAATGGATATTTCTACATTTTGAAATAATTTTCAACAAAATTGTTTCTCTACATTTTCATAAACCATTTCTGTGTTTAGTATCGACTGGATGGATATTCGAGCTCTATTCGGTAAACAATGTTACTTAGAGTGAGGATCTATTTTCATATAAACCAATACAGTCTGCATTGCTTGAGACCAGCCAAATGTTATCTTTATACTTTGTAAACAATTCTTCACAAGTTTATTGTTATGTTCATTATAGTTTCAGTTTCACAACGCCCAACTAAATTGGTTAATAATTGCAGATAACAAACTAGACACTATATGCTTTTCAAATTTAATAAAATGGGTGATGATAATGTTAGGAATGAAATATTTGAATGATTTACTTTCTTTTCAGTTTACCGACTTCAAGTTTGTCCCTCCAAGTCTGGTCAAAATCTCCTGGAAGTACAGGGGTTTATGGGAACACAGTTAGTCTTCCTGTCCTGCATGTTAAACCTCATGAGAGCTTCTACATAAATTCGTATGTTAACGACATCGCTATTCTGAAAATAGATGTCGCTGCTACGAGTACTGAGAACATCCAGCCGATATGCTTACCAGCCGAAGATACTCCAGTGAAAACCGATTCTTTAAGAGCGTACTATGCAACAGTAGGATTTACACCTCTCAGTAAGCTTCCATTTGTTTGTTTTGAGATGTTCGCGCAAAAATACGCGAGGGCTATCTGTGCTAGCCGTCCCTAATTTAGAAATGATAGACTAGAAGGACAACGAAAAGTTTACATTAGTGGGATTGACCGTCACATTATAGAGTATCCGTGGTTGAAAGAGCGAACATGTTCGGTGACGAGATTCGAACTCGTGACCCGCAGATTGCGAGATGAATGCCCTAACCACCAGGTCATGCCACGTAAAACCTCATAGTTTCACTGCCAGTTATTATTACTAGTTCGTGTAGTGTGGAGTATTTAGAGTAGAGCCTATATTAAGGATTTTTCAGAATTACTCAATCGGCACAATTTGGCTGTGAGCCATATATTGTACAGTAGATATACAAACGAAAGCTGGGCGATGCTGATACGTCTGTGCGCAGGATGTTTTACTTCCAGTACAATTTGTATAGTGTAATGTAGTCGATTCCGATCTGTTGAGCAGTGTTTTAATCGGGAAATTCCACCCACAGCCAAGATGGCACACTGTAGAAGCCCTGTGAAACTATTATGTTCCTCCTAGTCAACCGGAATTACAAGTTATTGTATTATTTATTAGTAAGGCAAAAAGGTCATTTTTTTTATACCGTGCATTAAGTAACTGTGCATCAACTTATTAAAATTACACACGTGTGATAAACTTGTCTTCTAATGTCGGTTCTGATTTAAATGATAAATTTATTTACTTCTTCAGACGTAAGAAAATGAAAGGTTTTAATTAAGCAGTTCAAATTATTATATCATAATAGACAAAATAATTCCTGGATAGGTATCCTTGAATCTCAGAGAAAGTTAATCAACTTAAGAAAATATCAAGTTAACAAGAGGTCGGACTTTAAATGTGATTTAAAAGTACACGTATATTGCATATGTAACCTACACAATGTGTTAAGCAAGAAAGTAGACTTACATTCGTAGGAGCATCATATCGCCCTCACGTCTGAAAGGGCGAGCATGTTCAATAAAGGGATTCGAACCCGCAGCCCAAGATTGCGAGTTGAGATCCCTAACCACCAAGCCATGCTATGCCTTCACTACGATAACGCTCCCCAGTGGCACAGCGGTATGTCTGCGGACTTACAACGCTAGAAACCGGGTTTCGATACCCGTGGTGGGCAGAGCACAGATAGCCCATTGTGTAGCCTTGTGCTTAATTCCAAACAAAAAAACACTACGATAACACAGAAAAGCACTTACATTTAAAATTTTATTTTTCGGTGCATCCAGAAGTTTAAAGGTTTTCAATAAAAGAATGATCTGATTCTTTGCTTTGATGGCAGTTAGTGATAACAATTTTATATATAGATATATTATTCATGGTAATTCCAACAGAACACTAAAGAAAACTACTGCAAATGTTTGGTTTTTTATTTTTTACTTACAACCAATGAAAAGACAAACATGCAAATTAGACGAAAACCTGGATTTTGGCAATATATTTCCTACTGGCTTAACATGCAAAAAATAAAAACCTGTTATAATTTAATAATAACGTAGCTTTAGAGTCTTAACTATTATGCTACCTTTTTAGAGATAAATAGTATGGCACTGACAACCTAAGTACTTTATTCTAGTCAAGAAATTTATAATTTGTGTTCGCATTGTAATGAGACATGTTTAATTCATGAACTGACACAGAGTAAAATTCAGTTCGTCAAATTGTATTCTGATCTGAGTAATTATTGTTTATGCTAAATGTAAAGCAAAAGTAAGAAAATACTTTTGGTTACAAAGTTTAAAACCTTTGATTAATCTTATTATTCGTGGATAAGTGAGATATTTGTAATTAAACTTAGCGTTTAGTTAGGTATTGTGCTTTAACACATGTTTATATATATGTTTAGTTAGGTATTGTGCTTTAACACATGTTTATATATATGTTTAGTTAGGTATTGTGCTTTAACACATGTTTATATATATGTTTAGTTAGGTATTGTGCTTTAACACATGTTTTATATATGTTTAGTTAGGTATTGTGCTTTAACACATGTTTATATATATGTTTAGTTAGGTATTGTGCTTTAACACATGTTTATATATATGCAAAAGAAAAGTATCAAAGTAAATATAATTATATTAGATAAATCACTGGACGTTGAAATCCACACCCAACAACTGGCAGTATGGCATCCATCTGACTGTGAGGCAGTTTATCAGCAAATTATTCCGTCAGTAAAGGGCGCTATGTGCGTTGGTGAAAGCTTTGAAGACGATAACTGTGAGGTGAGTAAATTAAAATGGTTTGAAATATATATTGTGACGAAAAAATTAAATGTCACGGAAATAATAAAAAATACGCACATTATGGAATCTATTATAATAATACTCAGATTTTCTCTGTCCTGAAAGTGTGCGCGCATCTTCCTATGTAAATACGCATGCGCATGCACTTATTTCAACGAATGTGAACAAAAAGCGGATGTAAATATACTGTTACGACAGCGCAAGTCACGCGACGCTGGGAGCATGCGCTCTGGAGTTTCTAGAAGGATTATGAATTTTCAGGGCAACTTAGTTTGTTCGAGGCGCCCTCTTTTTTCTAATATATAAGCCTGGCAAAGAAGCAAGCGAGATAGGCAGATAGATCGAAGAGAGAGATATGCAGATAGATTGAAGACAGAGATAATTGAGTCAAGCGAACAGTAGGT